TTTATAATTCATTTGTAGTTAGTTCCTTCCTCCTGATTCAGAGGCAATTTACCAGTCAGCGGTTTTTTGTTTTTCTGTTGTTGTTTTTGTTGTTTTTTATTATAGCCCTCTATCACCCTTCCAGTGAACAAAGCTAGAGAATTACCTGAAAGTCAAGTTCCCATGCAGGATGGCAAAGGGTTTTGTTACCCTTTCACCTAGTTTTTTTGATCAGTCTAGAAAATCTCAAGATTTTATCTCTTCACATACTTCTGCCTCATTCTGGCTTTCTTGTTCTTTGAGGATTCCAGTTAAACATTTGTTGGACCTTTTCAACATCATCTTCTAGGCCTCAAACTATGTCTCCAATATTTTCTTATACATTTTTCCTTTTTTGTTTGTTTGTTTTGTTTTCTCTGTGCTTCATTCTACATAGCCTTCTGGGGCGCCTGGGTGGCTCAGGCGGTTGAGTGTCTGACTTGGTTTCGTCTCGGGTTGTGATCTCATGGGTCATAGGATTAAAGCCCCACGTTGGGCTCCACGCTCGGTGGAGGGGGTTCTGCTTGAGGATTCTCTCCCTCTGACCCTCTCCCAACTCTCTCTCTCTCTTTCATATAAATAAATTTTTTTAAAAAATAGCCTCTGACATATGTTCTGGTTATTTTCTCTTAAACTGTATGTAATACACTATTAAACCTATGCATTGAATTCTTTTTTTTTTTTTTAAGATTCTATTTATTTATTTGACAGAGAGAGAGACAGCGAAAGCAGGAACACAAGCAGGGGGAGCGGGAGAGGGAGAAGCAGGCCTCCCACCGAGCAGGGAGCCCGATGCGGGACTCGATCCCAGGACCCTAGGATCATGACCTGAGCCGAAGGCAGACGCCCAACAACTGAGCCACCCAGGCGCCCTATGTATTGAATTCTTAAACCTTTCAATTCTGGAATGAGTTTCTTCTAGATTATTTTTTTCAAACTTTTTTTATTTTTTACTGTAAGCATGCTTTGATTTCAGTCTTTTTCTGATTTTTGACTATGTGTTGGTCATTTGGAAAATTATCTATGTAGGGTAATTTGAGGTTTGGGGTCATATCTTCATCTGGAGAGGACTTAATTGTTTCTGTCCAGTGCCTGTAGCGTGCCACTCCAGGACCTGTTTATTCAATATACAAAGCTTGAAATATTATGATTACTATTAAACCTGGTTGCAATCTGTGGAAGTGCTGATTTACTTCTGGTTTATCTTTACCCTATGGGGTCTCATATTAAATATAGGGGGTGTTTATTAGACCTTCCATCTTCTGCGATACTAGATTTAGATTTATTTCTCTCTTGCTCAGCAATCCTGCAAAATTTGTAGCTCATTTTATAGATTTTGCTTTTGTATTGTCAAATGCCTTCAGGACAAATGTTTGGTTTAACTGCCTGGAGCACTTCCTTCTAAGGTTTTGGCTGGATAATTCCTTATATTAGGCATTTGGTTCTATTTTTCTAAACCCAGATTTTTTGGTTGTTTCAGGTGGTAGTTGGATCAAATTACCAAGCTGCTTAATATATATTCTGTGTGAAACCATCCTTGCATTACTAGGGTAAGAAGTATTTATAAGTTAGATGGGAAAAATAATTTTTGTCTAGTTTTGGCATCAAAGTTATTATAGCACTTAAAAATAAGTAGAGAATGTTCCTTCATTTTTTAGTTCTCTCTATAGTATTAGAAACCAGATTATTGGTTGCTTGTTGTGGGAGCCTTGACTGGGATGGGGCAAAAAGGAACTTGGAACTTTCTGGGGTAATGGCAGGGTTCTGTATCTTGATAAGCATTTTTCAAAACTAAATTGAAGAGTTTACTTAAGATACGAGGACTTCATTGTATGTAAATTATACCTTAATAAAAATTATTGTTCAAATACCAATAATTGTTGAATCTAGGTGGAATATATACAGGTCTTCATCATATTATGCTTTCAACTTTTCTTGGTATTTAAAATTTTCAGAATAAAAAGTTGGGGATATAAAATTAAAAGATAAATTCATTGTTCAGTTTCCTTGATATTAGTTTCACTAAAGGTTAAGGCCAAACACTACAGAAAAGTATAAAGGAGTGAAGAAATGTGATTAAAATAGATGTATGCTTGGCAAAGGAAGAAAGGTGGCTTGGAAGTATAGGAAGCTTGAAAATGATTATATGGAGGGAGGAAGAAATCAGTGGAAAAGAGAGAACTGTTGGGTTCAGAGATAGGAAGGAAAAGAATTAAGACAGGTGCTTGGAACTGAATTCCAAAATTTCATGCACAGTCCAACTAGGTTGAGTCTTTTCTAAAGATACTAGGATATATCATATGGGTATATGAGTGCCTCTTAATACTTTTTTGATATGTTTATCAGCTGTTTAGATATAAAAGATTATCATCTATCACTTTAAAAGTTCATAAAGTCATATACTTTATCTCATTTAATCCTTCAACATTCTGAGTTCAGGAATAATCGTTCGTTTTATAGATTAGAAAATGAGGTTGTGACTTTGCTAAAGTTACAAAGCTAAGAAGTGGAAAAGCCACTCCTGAGACTTTTGACTTCATGTAGTGTAAGCTTAGGACACTTTAATTACAATACCGATGTTTTTTAATTGGAGCTAGGTTAAGGGGGTGGACCAATCAGGTAATTGCCTAGAATCCCAATCCATAAAAAGTGTTAACACATTTTATCATAGAAAGTGTAATAAGGAGGGTGCCTGGTTGACTCAGTCTGTGGAGCGTGTGACTCTTGATCTTGGTGTTGTAAATTCAAACCCCACTTTGGGTATAGAGATTACTTAAAAATAATATCTTTTAAAAAAAGAAAATGTAGCGAGGAAAAAATTGTATTTATTATTTTTTATTTTTTCGGTGCAAAAAAGGTAGTTTTATTAAGGCACAGACACAGGATCTGTGGGCAGAAAGAGCTGCTAAAAATTGTATTTAATGGAATTCCTCTGGGAGGATAGCTGTGTGTGTGGCTGGAAGTGGTAGTTTGGTATGAGGCTTAAAGCGGTGGTGAGATTATCACACCTCCCTCCTCCCCAGCTCTGCTCCAAGGACATTTCATGCCACATTATAAGGAACTTAGATGCAAGTAAGTGCAGAGATTTCTTTCTCATGAGTAGGATATACAAATTTAGATCAGAGCTGAACTGTTACTGACAGTCAAGAGACAGACATCTCCTCCACTCTTTACCACTCAGGCTTTCCACTAAACAAATATTGAATGAGTATTAGAGAGTATAGTTTAGAAAAGATGCCAAATTAGTAATCTGGTGTAGGCAGACAACGTAGCATTCTATTTCAGATGCTACTAATAGAAAACCTATCGAAAACTATCTGAAACAGTAACAGAAAGTCATTGGCTTAAGAAAACTGACTAGTAAAGAGGTGCGGGGGGGGGTTGTCAAAGTTAATTCTGGCATTTTTTTGGTGATTCTTACCCATGAGATGGGTTGGTCCTCAAGCTGACCCCTCATTGTAGCAAAATGGTTATAGCACTCCACAAGCTAGAAAGTCTCATCTCTAATCACTGAATAAATGGGCCCACACTTGATCTAATTGGCAAAGCCTGGAAATGCCCTGTAGTCGTAGTTGGATTTACAGGTTCAGCTCTGATGTAATCACTGTGACAAGGAGGACATTGGTTATGACTGGGTTGTCTGAGGCAGCACTTAGAATTCTGCGGTCAAACCTACCCAACCCTAAAATGAACACTACAAACAAGTCTCAGGGAGGCCATACTTCTCTTAATCTTGTGTTCACATTGGTCCCTCTTTTGTGTTGAAAGCCTCTTGGCGGAAGGGCTGTATTATAATCCATTCATCTTTCTATTCCCTCAAAGCTCCTAGTTCACAGTGGCCTTCATTTAATGCCTGTTGAACAATGTTAAACTCCACTGAGGTGTAAACCAAGGCCAAAGGAGAATAAGCTCAGATCAAGAATAAGCCAAGCTAAGACCACAAAGTTAATGTTAGCGAACCAGCATTAGAAACCACTCTAGATATTGTTCATTCATTCTTTTACTCATTAAACAAATAGGGGTGGGAAGAGGCAGTAGGTAGGAACCAAATTAAACAGGGCCTTGCAAATTGTATCGTTTTAAAGTTCTTTCGTGGGTGGGTTCCAACCATCTCTTCAAGGAAACCTCAACCCTGGACTTGGTCCAGTGAATTTTTGAACAGCTTGACTCAGCATCTTCTCTCATCCTTTATCAGCACGTCAGCGGTGCCATCAAGCTTCCTTTCATCTCTTCTGCCCTCGGCATTTCATCTTTCCTAGCTATCTGATTTCCCTGACCCCTCGACTTTTTAAAAACCAGGGTTCTCCTGAGCGCTCTGATTTCGCTCTCTTATTTCACGGCTCCATAGTCCCACCGCCCAACTCTCTCAACTCTGCAGTCCATGACATTCAGTCGCCCTTCAAAGTCAGAAGGAATCAGCCAGGTTAGTACTTGGAGGATATTACCAAATCCAAAGAGGTCTCACCAATCCTGCACCATTAGATAGGAACAATAGCTTACCCAACACCCACATTTAGATTGTTCCGCCACTACTCTGGGGGATGGTTTTATTTGCGGCTGCTTTCCTCCAGCTACAGCCACCGTGTGGAAGAACACCGTTAGAATTTTCCCGAAATGTTGCTGTCTCGGAGCCCCGGGCACCTCTTCTTTCTCTCCGCCAATCCCCCGGGCCAGGCCCTCCTCCAGGCCGCCGGGTAACGCTGCAGTCGCGCCAGCGCTTCCAGGGGAGGGAAGCGCCGCGCGGGGAGAAGGGCAAGGCCACAGGCTCCGCGCCTGAAGGCGTGCGGGAGGCCCGCAGGCCGCGGGAGAGGGCGGGAGCTGACGCTCGGCGAACGCAGCGCGCAGCGAGCCGGGGCGGAAGACGTGGGCGGAAGGTGGTGGACCGGGTGGGCTGGGTGGGCGCCGGAGGGCGGAGCCCGCGCGCGCCGGGGGCGGGGCTTCCGCGCCGGTCACGTGACAGGTCCGGCGGCGGCGGCAGCGGCGGCAGCGGCAGCGGCGGCGGCGGCCGCGGCGTCTTCAGAGGCGCCCAGTGCAGGATGGTGCTGGAGGCGGCGGCGGCGGCCGTGGTGGCGGCGGCGTCGTTGGCGGCAGCGGGAGGGGGTGCTGTGGCGGCATCGGCGGCGGCGCCCGCGGGTGGTGTAAAATGGCGGATTTCGAGGAGTTGAGGGTAAGCGGGGGCGCGGGAGTAGAGAGTGGAGGCCGCGGGGGAGGGGAGGGGAGGCGGGGAAGCCGCAGCGTCGCCGCCCGCCACCTTCTTGTTTCGCGGGGACGAGTTGGCGGAGCCGCGAGCTCCGGCCCGAGTGCGAGCGAGCGGGCGCGGGCGGGGGAGGGGAGCCAGGCGGCGGAGGACGCCTGGGCCGCGCGGGGGCGGCAGGCCCGGGGCGCGGGCGAGCTGCCGGTGGGTCCCGCCGGGGGTTCGCACACCTGGCGTGGGGCGGGGGCCGCCGTCGGGAGGGGCTCAGGGGGACTCGACCTTCTCGTGTAAGGGCTGAGGTGGGAAGCGGGATTTGCTTTTCCACCTTCATGGGGTGTACGTGTGTGTGGCGATTCAGAAGTCTACACGTTACTCACTTGGTGGGAGACTATTTTGTGAAACGTGAAGTTGCCTTTAGGAATCCTCGTCTTATGGCTGATGCTACCGTTTAGTAAGATCTGTCACGAGAAAGGCCCCTTCCTTCTACCAGTGCTTCCTCTTCGAGAGAAGCCTGGTCTTTTGGGATCACTGCCTTTAATAATCGACCTTAAACCTTGATATTTTCTTAGTGCCATGGTAAGACACCCGCAAAGGCCGTGTTGTCATGAGGTTTGTGAACTCGTTTTGCTCTTGAGGGAAAACATTTCTCTTTCTAGCCTTAGAACAAGGTGAAAACTTTATTGTTGATATCTTTGAACTGTAGAGGTTTGAAAATGGGTGTGCTGGGGGTGGAACGGAAAAGATATTTTTCCCTGGGCTGATAACCTTCAGAGTCCTCAACTGAAACTAAACTGTGGTAAACGAACAGGCTTTATTTTTTATGGATCGCTGAATTACTGGCGACAGAAATGGAATACCTAGGGACGGAAACCCTGATTTAAAAAAAAAAAGTCAAAGTGTAGATGAATGTGAACTTGAAATTAACGGCATTCCTTTTGCATAACAGAGGTATGATGTTAGGGTTACTTTTTGGAATAAGAAGGAAGAGGAATCCGGTAAAAGATTCAGTTTTGTATGTTTATTTTTTTCCGCGAGGGATGGAGTCGGGAAGGATGTTGGCTGCTCACCTCGCTGGTACGGTGGACATAATCAAAAGAACGTATTGGTGATTCCGATCTAAAGGGAGAGTGTGTTACAGTTTGCATAATACCTGCCATTTTCCCTTTTGTTTCAAAAAGAATAGTACATTAATGCATTTTATGCCTTATATTAGTTTATACAGAGAACCATGATAGTAGGTAAAGGGTATTCATATTGGTACGTGTAGGAGTTTTAGTATCTCAGACCGTAGAGCTTTTAACACCTGTGGAGCTTTGGAACAACCAGGCCTGAGCCTCAGCTGTAAAAATGAATGCATTAGGTTTAGGGATTGATTGAGGAGACTGAAGGTTGAAGTTAAATTTTTTTTTACCTGCAATATTCTCTTCATTTTTGCGTAGTAACGTCTATACAATTTATCCTCTTTTAAGGTTTTTTGTTGATGAAAATTTTTCCAAGACTTGCATTAGACTTTTATAAATGTTATTGGTCAAAGCTTAATAAAAAGGGAGGATTTATTTACCAATATAGGGCAGACAGGGCAGTCAGTGCTGAAGTTCAAGTGGAACTAGGAACTGCAAAGTGGTTGGAAACCAAAGATGCTTTTTTTCTCTTTGGGTCTTCCTGTCCCCAACCCCTTTTCCACTACCCCCCTTTATCTCCCCCCACCTCCTTTCCCCCTTCCCTCTTCTGCCTCCCTCACCTTGCCCTCTACAATTTGTTTTGTGGGTCAGCTTCATTATCTTTTTCTGTAAATCAGCTGTCTTTGCTTCTCCCTACACTTGATGGAAGATGGCCCCTCCCACATAGTTTACATAAGGTGCCCAACAGAGAATTACTGGGAAGAGTTTTCAGAGGAAGGATGTGCAGGTAGATGCTGGAAGAATTATCCACCTCAGTCTTCACCTTAGTTGCTCAGCAGCATCTTCTCCATTTAAAGATGAACCGTCTCCGTCCCCTGCCCCCATTTGGAACAGTGATGATGATGATGATGATGATGATGATAGGTATCCATTATAAGTGGTTATTACATACCTGGCTCTGGTCTAGGCACTTCACACATTTGTTTGATTCTCACAACAATTGTAATAGAATTGTTAGGAGAAATTGTCAGAAGAAATTGAGACAGCTTGAGTAACCTGACAGTTTGAGCTGGAAGACCTGGGATTTTTAACATCACATGTCCAGCTTTAGAGTCCATGCTTTTCAGAGTCTGAGCTATCCTGCTCTGTGTAGTTTCCTTCAGGTCCACGTGGTGCTGCTAGCCATCAGCCTGCAGTCTGTGAACTAAACGATGATAAATAGCCAGTGCCCTTCTTATGTGACATATAATAGTGGAGGGGAAACAGGACAGCTGACTGAAAATCTAATTAGAAAGGAGGAAAAGAGGAAGAAACATGTAGGGCATTCTAAATGGTCTCTGCTTCAGAATATATTCTGTGAGGGTCAGAGAGATCACCAAGTAAATTAAAGGACCAGGAGAAATGGCCAGTATTAGTTTGCTGGCTAACTTGGCAGTAGAGGAAATAGCCGACCTGGATGTCACATATATGGCTATCCATACTGCTGCTGAGAGGATTTCCATTATCTTTATCCATTATCATTCAGGGCTACTCCCTAGGGGCATGTATAACTGGAGCAGGTCACTTCTGGCTGGTGATGCCATCTCCTGTACTGGAGGTCAGGAATTCTGGGAAAGGTCATCCTCACTGTGCTTTGGTGACTCCTGTGCCTTTGCTTTGTAAGCTTAGGGTGGGGGGTGGGTGTTATTTGATGAGGCAACTTCTGTGGAACCTTAAGAGGCCGCCAGATGATTTTGGAGACTGCTGTGTAAGCCAATACCAGAGGTCTTGTCCGGTCATAGCAGAATATGGCAGCCCTACACTTCGCTGCTTTCATTTTAATAGAATACCAGCATACCTTTCTTCTAGTTCTTCTGAGAGAGGATCCGACTGGCTGAGCTTAGGTGAGGGTCCACTTCTTTTCTAATCATCTATGGCCAGTTTAGAGTCCTAGCACACAAACCTGACTCATGAGATTATCTTGATGGGTTGGGGGAAAGGAAGGAGTAAGTTCTCTGTAAATGGAAATTGTGGGCTGAGTAGTCAAGGATGATTTTTTTTTTAAGATTTTATTTATTTATTTATTAGAGAGAGAGAAACCACATGAGAGGGGAGAGGGTCAGGGGAGAAGCAGGCTCCCCGCTGAGCTGGGAGCCTGATGTGGGTCTCAATCCCAGGACTCTGGGATCATGACCTGAGCTGAAGGCAGTCGCTTAACCAAATGAGCCTCCCAGGTGCCCGTCAAGGATGATTATAATAACACATCATGTGTTCCAAGCTTTCAAAGTGCTAGAGAAGAAATTATTCATTTCACTGGTTGCTTGTTTATAGCATTTATGTTGGTAGAAGTTTCTGCAGTCAAATGCTCTACCACTGAGCTATACCCCCCGGTAGAAGTTTCTGAATTAACCTAGTTTGCAAACTAACTAGTTGTGAATTAACCTGGGACAAGCTCATAAGATCTGATGGCTTCGACTTCTGTCACTGCCACCCTCCTTTCTCCTTACGAAAGTCTCTAGCAGAGCTAAGCACAGGGATGGAGCAGAGGCAGAATAGTCAGGGTTCTGAAGTCCCTCATTTCTTCAACCAGAGTGGCTTTTTTTTTTTTTTTTTGAGTTTTTTTTAGAGAGTGAGCTTGGATTTGGGGGGGGGGGGGTGGGGAGGTGCAGGGGTGGGGCAGGGTGGAGGAGCAGAGGGAGAGAGAATCTCAAGCAGACTCCCTGATGAGTGCAGAGCTCAACATAGGGCGTAGTCTTACAACCCTGAGATCATGACCTGGGCCAAAATTAAGAGTGGGACGTTTAATCGACTGAGCTATCCAGGCACCCCCCCCGGAGTGGCTTTTTTACCCTTGTCTTTCTCCTCCAGTTGCATAATTGTATACTGTGGGCTACTGGTGCAGTCTTTTGGCAGTTCTTAAAAAGGTTCCTGCTGTTATTTAACCTGGTTAATCCACTCTCCTTACTTCTCACCACTCAAGTGTGGAGATGGAGGGGGATCTATTGCAGTAACATTCTTTTTTTTTTTTATTCCTTTCTTTAAAGGTTCTCTCTCCCTCTCTCCTCTATTCCTTATCCCCTTCCTTTTGTGCATTGAGTTTATTATCTCCATGTGCCTCAGAGAACGGGAGTGAGTGTATGTGCAGTCTTAGTGCCTATTTGGGCTAGTGAAAGAGTGAGTGATCATAACTTTCTTAATAGATACTGGCAAACCAAATGCAGAAGATCTTTTATGCTGAGTCTTAAGTAATTCTGTAACAGAAGATTTTCTGCCTAGAAGGCTTGAGTGTTTGGTTCTTTACACCTAGCAGAACTTGCCATTCTGGTAGCTTCAGGTGCTGTTAGGATATAGAGGGAGAATAGAAAGTTAATGGGGGTATTTGAGGTTAGAGTTCCTCATCCTTCATACTCCCCAACTACTGGACAAGTAAATAGATTAATAGATATGATAGATGCAACTGAATCCACCATGTGATTCTAAGTCATGAGTTGGACACAACTAAAATTTCAGGACACAACTTCACTTGAGATCATGTCTATGAAAGCACATTCAAAACTCAATATTTAACTTAAATAGATAATTTTTTATAGTAAACCAAGGTATTTTTAGCTATAGTAGATACTTTTGCATTTGTTTGCTCCTTGGGTCTGTGGCCTCCTTCCATGAATATCTTTTCTGATAAAGCTGACACTTTTCTAAATACAACATTATTCAGATGTTTCTCCTTTCTCAGAATTTTGTCTTTGTTTTCTTTTCTTTTTTTAAAAGATATTTATTTATTTGACAGAGAGAGAGACAGTGAGGGAGGGAACACAAGCAGGGGGAGTGGGAGAGGGATAAGCAGGCTTCCTGCTGAGCAGGGAGCCCAATGCA